GCTGAACTGTGTAGCGTTTCGATCAGTGTATTCTGTCCTATTTGTCTGCTGCATTTGACCATTGCCATACATTGATCAAACCACACATATCTTACAGGTCAGTGACTGTCTGCTTCAAACTTTAATCTACCTCTAGATGGCACTAGCACACAAATGCACACTGTAGATTCTCTGTATAAAAGTTTACACAATCTACCATACAACTTTTACCAGTTGTGCAGTATGCATGTGTATACTACTGTGCACAATATAGAATACCATGATTACTACTGTACTACATTTACGACAATGCACAGTATACTACAGTCAGTGCACAGAATACTACACCCAATAGTGCTCAACCTGACCTTCCACTTTCAGTGACAAATGAAGTGGAAGTGACATCCATTGTTTTTAACATCTTTTGCTGCTGTTAAGTACACCTGGGAAACTCGTCCCTCCGAGTCAGGCATTCTTTAATACAACATGTCACACAAGTCAGAAAAATTACACAGAAGTAGCCTAAAAAACCCCACAGAATAGTTATATTGTGAACAACAAACCCAAATAATTAACTACATCTGAATTCAGAATGATGAAAATTATGAATTTCTGTCACCTATTTATACATGGTATCATTTTTGCGTTACACATTTTTTGCATTACATAAAGTTTGTGAAAGTTGAATAATTAACTCTACTCTTGTGCATAAGCTGTTCTGTACACCACACCTTTAAAATAATTGAAATACAGCATGTAAAATTAAAATAACTTGCAAATTCATTCATTATATTTCACTACAGATATGCTCACTGATCTCTATATATAGATTATAGATATATGATTTACTGTAATTCTATTTGTATCTATGAATTGTTGTAATGAAGTCAGCTTACAGCAACCACATTTTTTGTTACATAATACATACAGTTTCGCATTGTATATTATTAAAACAATAATATACAGTATTTAGTGTATACTGGGCAGTATCCAGTTAGCAAATACCTTTACAATGACACATTTACAGATTTTAATATTTCACTGCATTTGTCTTTTGTCAGCTGATTTTAAAGCTCTCTCAGTGTTGGAACTGTTGGATAACTCGGTCCGACTCCAAACCATCTCTTATGTAAGCAAGCGCTTTTGCATCATTACAGAAAGATTTAGCTGGCTTTATATGAGCAAGGTTTAAGCTGTTTTAGTATGATGCAGTGTTTCTATACTGATGTGAAGAACAGCATTCATTACTTCAGTGCTTGTTTCCTCAGTCTGCTAGTTGTTCCCGTCTAGCGTTGCAGAAGTAATGACTGCTGGGATGGAATGCCTTATGATGATTCTATTGTGTTCCTTGTGATCACTGAACCATACTAGTACTACATTCAGCTACACTTTCTTCATCCGCTCACTCAACAACTATTCAGTCAAGAGTCAATATGCTTCTTTAATTATGCCCTTTGTGATTATAAGTTTACAATTGAGATGTTCAGAATAGCATACTATTATAATACATAGTATATAGTACATATAATGTGCACATTGTGTATGGAATACCTGGAAGACCTGTCCAAAATGGCACCCTAAACACCCGCGGTCTTCCTACAAGTCTGCACTTTTGCGACGTAGTGTGCATTGAGGGTGCATATCGACCGCAAAGCTCACGAGCACCAGAGGCGGACAGAGTACAGAGCTTTGTTACTTGAGTAAAAGTACAGATACCCCTTGCTAAATTTTACTCAAGTACAAGTAAAAGTACTGCTTTCAGATGTCTACTTAAGTAAAAGTACTAAAGTACTTGTTTTTAAAAGTACTTGAGTATCAAGAGTACAAGAGTAAATTTTCTAAATATTGCATTACTAATCTACTGCCACAGTGCTTACATTTATGCACAGAAACGTCATACATGGAGTTATGAAAAATGTTAATGTTAATACCTTGGAGAATGTAAAAGGAATTGAAAGTAAAATCAAGTCATTTTCATCTTTTTACCATGTTGCTTTATTTAATTAAATTAAATTTATGGGGGGTCCCATCTTAAATGCGGGGACACACACACACACACACACACACACACACACACACACACACACACACACACACACACACACACACCACATGTAAGGGTGGCGCTGCCAATAAAGCACCTAAAAGCTGTCACAAAGAACCGGCAAAAGGAATGATTATGAATATGTAAAATATAGCAAGGAGATATTTTAATTGTTTATTAATAAACACTTGTTAATAAACAAGTGTTTTCTTTGTCAGTGTCGGCTAAGATGAAGTTGACGATGCTGACTCGCGATCTTCAGTAGTGAACGCGCCAGAGAGAAATGCACATTTCATACGGATTACATAAGCAGAGAGCAGTCTGTAGTCTGTTTTCTTTCGTTTTGAATTTTTCTGTTTAAAAGTAGACATGTCTGTGAGAGGCAAGTAGGCTACCTTATACACTGAGTTTCGGTTCATTTATGAGACGAGATCCAGTTCACGTGCCGGCGCCTCCGTTTCTTATCTATCGTCTGCTATTTACTTCTTATTTATTAAACCCAGGCAATTGGTTGATGAAACATTGATTAAAATTAAGATACAATTAATGCAAAACGAAATTCAGGTTAAAGAAAGGTTTTGTGTTTTCTGTTTGATGTCTCTGTGAAAGTTTTAAAGCATTTTTTATGCCGCTTTCAGAGCGCTCACGTCCGTAACGGAGAACACGTCCATAACATTGTTTTTTCCTCATAAATGCAAACCCGAAAAATAAAATAAAACAAAATTAATATTTTATGTACTGTGGAGACTGAGCGCCAACCCTTCTTCATTCGCTGGGTAGTAGCCTACTTTGGTTTGCGCAGTGTAATTCACATAATCAGTAAAAATATATTTTGCCTCCTAAAGTTTTTTTTTTAAGAAATCAGAAATCCCTCGTGGCTACGCCACTGCCACATCTGTGTTAAACACACCACATACTCAAGAACATCGAACCAAATGCTTGGCTTACATTAATGTGTAATATAAAATCTGACCATGGAGTTGACTTTGGCGGAAAGCTGGAAGTGATTGCTGATAGGCTGTCCCAATCAGTGGCGCCTGCACAATCCAATCACGTTTGAGAGGGAAACAACAAATTGAGGGTTTCCGAGATTTTTCTTTTTTTTTTTACTTTTTTTTTTTTTTTACTCGGGTACTCACGGTTATGGATAGAAATGTATTGGAGTAAAGAGTACAATATTTGCCTCTCAAATGTACTTGAGTAAAGTCATAAGTACTCCCCAAAAATGATACTCGAGTAAAGTACAGATCCCTCAAAATTGTACTTAAGTACTGTACTCAAGTAAATGTACTCCGTTACTGTCCGGCTCTGACGAGCACCCAAACACACCTGAACCAGCTACTCAAGGGCTGCATCTGAAATCGCATACTTCCCTACTATATAGTAGGCGAAAAACAGTATGTGACAAATGAAGTATGTCCGAATTCACAGTATTCATAAAAGAGTAGGCAAAAAGTACCCGGATGGCCTACTACTTCTGGTGAGATTCTGAAGTGTGCATACGATGGACACTTTACTATCCCATGAGGCCACTGGAGAGGATTTGGGAATGGCAGTGAAGCGACGTAACTGACACTGGTAGGTCACATGATAATGACAACATGGCGAATGTAGTAGGTCCGGATTACATTCACACTACACATGTTCATACTACATAGAACATACTTATTTAGCCATCGTGAAGTAATTTCTTATTCAAAAGAAGTACCTACTCAAGAGAGTTTGTGATTTCGGACGCAGCCGAGCTCTTCAGGATCGCTTGAAAATCACAAACATGAGGGGCCTCATGTACAAAGACTTGAATTCATACTAAAACATTGCGTACAGACAAAGCTGTAAATGTGCGTACGCACAAAAAATGTATGAATGTATGAATCTCTGCGTACGAAGGATCCCACGCATATTCTCTTTGTACATCCCAATTAACGTAAAATTGAGCGCACGCGCACAACGCCCCACCCAGTCTCCTCCCCCAATTAAATTAATTTAAATATGGTAATTTGGCAAAAGAAACCTGCAAGAACATGGCTAAAGCAAGCAAGAAACGAAATTTCACTGAAAATGTCTTCTATGTGAATATATAGTAAAGTGTAATTTATTCCTGTGATCAAAGCTGAATTTTCAGCATCATTTCTCCAGTCTTCAGTGTCACATGATCCTTCAGAAATCATTCTAATATGATGATTTGATGATCAAGAAACATTTATGATTATTATCAGTGTTGAAAACAGCTGTGCTTCTGCTTCATATTTTCGTGGAAACCATGATATAGTATTTTCAGGATTCTTTAATGAATAAAAACTTCAATCAAACAGATGTCGAAATCTTATAATCTTTTGTAACATTATAAATGCATTTACTGTCACTTTTACTTGTCACTTCAATGTGTCCTTGCTGAATAAAAATATTACTTTCTTTTTTTTATCTTTACTGACCGAATTAATGAAGTTTATTTTTTATTCCTAGTTAAGCCAACGCTGCCATTGCTAGACGGGTTGTATCAATTTGGACATGCTTTATATATGTTCTTACTTAATTGCATAATATAATATTTTAATAAAACTCGTGTGACAATGATATGTCAAATAATTTATCAATTACAAATTATAAGCAATAATTATAAGCAAATATACGTACGCCAGACATGAAGTTTACTTGGAGGAACGCACATTCTTACGTTAATTTCACTGTTAGTACATCTGGCCGTGAACGTGAAAGCCGGCGTACGCTGTGTTTTTGTCCGTACGCAGTGTTGATACATGAGGCCCGAGGTCTCTAGGAGCAGGGTTGAAGACCTCTGCCCTATGGTCTCATGGGCTTCATGATCACGCTCACGTGGCGGCCATTGTAAGTCCACAATTTAAAAAAATAATGATGTGCATGGATCATTTAAAATAAATCCCACTATATTCCATATAAAACAACAAGAATAGTACATTTTGATTTCATGGTGACACTGTCAATTCTTTATCTACAGAGTCTCAAATCAGATGAGGACACAGGAAGCAACAAAGAGTCCACACACCACTATTTTGTGGCACAAGGTACTATATTGTGTAACTTTTAAATGAATCGAGCAGTTTTATATGTAAATTAGCACATGAATGTAATTCTTTCTGATTTACATATACCCAAGGCCAGTTGAAGCTCTGGAATCAAGAGGGCACAGAAAGTCCTCAGCGCTCATCCAACCCTCAGCATGAAGTGACAGATGGACAGGTGAGAGCAGTATGGGAAGAGCTGGGGGTCGGAGCCGGAGGATCACTTAACCGTGAGGAGCTGTCGCTCGTCTGTGACCACATCGGTCTCAAGGACTTACAGTCTGAGGTACGGTAATGTAACATTCTGTACAGAGTAGAATAAGTAACGAAATTAGTCACTAAACACCATATCTGTTTGTCTGTACACAGGAGTTAGACGCTCTTTTCAGGAAACTAGACAAGGATCAAGATGGGAGAGTCAGTCTCAGTGAGTTCCAGAGCGGTCTGTTCACACAACAGCGTCACATTACACCCATCTCTACCTCCACCCCTGCCAAGCCCAAACCACAGCGCTCCATCTCAAAGGTCAGGCTCAACTCAAGGTCTTGGTGAAAGCAGATTGTAGCCAAAAACAAACATACTGTAGCTTTGGCAAAACAATCTGCTGCAAACGCTGACACTAGTATGCAAGAGTGGGACTGCATGGTTTTCTCTACAAATGAAGTGAATGTGTGAAAGAAGCAGTTATATGTGATCGTTTATTTATTTGAGATAGATAGATAGATAGATAGATAGATAGATAGATAGATAGATAGATAGATAGATAGATAGATAGATAGATAGATAGATAGATAGATAGATAGATAGATAGATAGATAGATAGATAGATAGATAGATAGATAGATAGATAGATAGATAGATGGATAGATGGATGGATGGATAGATAGATAGATAGTTTGCTGCAGTTGATGGTTAATTGTCTTCCCCTAGTTACATACATTTGATCATATGTTGTTATGCATGGTATGCTTAATTTTTTTATGCTTGCCAAACTGGCAGGTTCATGTTACAGATAAAGTATAGAAATCTTGCATATCTGCCAATTTTCCTCTCACCTGTTGATTAGAAAAATTGAAAAAGTCACTGAAAGAATCAACAACTAAAGCCTCTACCAATTTTTCCATGGCTTTCTTTGGCTGACAAAGACAGCTAAATGATTTCCTGACTGTCAAGGAGATTCATTTCAGAACTCCAACATCAAGCCAAGTTACTGAGGGCTGCACTGGCTGGAACCAATTAACTTAATTGGGAAGGTGGAGCCTCCTGTTTTTTCTCTTTTGTTTCTGGGAAAGCACGATTGTATTGCTATACAATGGCCAAACTTGCAATCAAAGCTGAGGAGATGTACTGCACAACTGGCCTCCTTCCTGCATGTAATGTTTTTACATGGGAATGTAAAGACATTTTGGAGTCCTTTAGTGATGACCTTTCTGAGGTGATTTTACTGAAAGCACAACCAGCCAAAAATATTTAAAACAATATCTTAACTCAAGCTAGGCACTTATTCGGATGCAAGATTTGTTGGTTAATAAAATGTAGGATTTAAAAGATCAGGCTTCCTTTAAGGAGAAAAACAGCTTCAGTGATCAGTGCTTGATAACAAATGCCGAGTTGCATGAATATTTGGCGGTCGCTGGAGCTAAAATGAGGCTAAGCCAGCTTAAGGGTTACGACACCAGAAGGACGTTTATTAGTGGTCAGTGAAATAATTTTGTTCATGATTGAGGCTCTAGCTCTGGCATGTCAAGGACAGCATTGTGCATTGTGTGGTGGGACTGTGAGAGCTTGTTTTCCTTTTTTATCCCTTTCAGCGGTTTTCCTCGCAGTTGAATACTGAACTTTGCTGGATCGTTTTGTCTTTTTTTTCCCCTCATGTCGTTCCCGCTGCTCTCTCAGGCCCTTGAGGAACGTTTGGTGCGTTCCACCTCCCCTTCTTTACTGTCGGCTACGGTGGGTCAGAGGCTGTTGACCCGGCTGGATGATGGATCGGGGTGCACAAGCCCAGATAAAGTCATCGCCCTCTGGACGGAGGAGGGAATCCACAACAGCAGGGATATTCTACAGGTAATAGATTACTTGGATGTTTAAGATAGATGAACTGACCAACTATGAATAATAACAAACGCTGAATAATTTTGTTGGCATATGTTTTTTTTTTTCTGCTTACAGACTCTGGACTTCTCTCTGGAGGAGCGACTGTGTCTGGCTGAACTCACTCTTGCACTGGACAATGAGTTACTGGTCAGTGGAAACGGCATCCATCAGGCTGCTCTGGTCTCCTACAAAAATGAGATAAACCACTTACAGTGAGTGTTATTCACTTCAGATCTGTATTTACTCATAAAGCCTGTCGAAACGTCCAGATCACATTTCACCTGAAAACCAAAGCATGTATGAATCTATGCATTTATTTATTTAGCAGTGTAACATTTTCAGGACAATTTGACCATTTCTTATAAATGTCTAGTATTGACTTGTTTTTAATGATGATTCTCATTACTTTAAGTAATTTTACTGTATTACCGGTGCTATAAAAACATGGTTTTGCAATGTTTTTTTAACTAAACATTCTAATTAAAAGAGGTTACCATGATGTAGTAATGTTCAACATTTATATATTAATCAATTTATTGTAACAGAGTAATGAGAATATTTCTCTACTGAAAAGTGTAGGAGTAAAATGAGCTTGAATTGTCCTGAAAATAACGTCCCAATGTAGAAATCTTAATACTCCTAATATTTTTGGGGTATAAAATGCCTCTTCATGAGATTCACCTGAATGTCTGTGCTGTTTAGTTTGTCTCCACCTGGAGGACATGTAATGTACTGTGTTCACCAGTATTCTTTATGTTGTACGCTTTCACACTAGCACTTTTGGTGTTGCACACGCTTTCGATTGATGTCAGACTTCGGTTAATTTGGATAATGTGAACGATTTTGTACAAAATCGGACGTGACCTGTACTGGAGTCTGCTTAAAAAGAGTGGCCTGGGGTACGGTTCATGTGAATTCTGGTATGCTTCGCTGCTGATATGAACACAATCGTACTTCAACTCGGAGGTAAACCACTATTGATGACGTGTGATTCGATAAAACGAATGTGTGTGTGTCTGTGTGAGTGACGCACTGCAAGCAGAGAATGCATTTCATGCAAAAAGCACACTTACATGGGAAACGACTACAAAGTGGCTTTACTTTGTTCTCCAAACATCTCTGAATGCTTAACAGGTGTTACAAATGAATGGATGATCATCTCATGGTGTGGTGGTTTTGTGTTTTACAGAGTCCTGGCAGAGCAGGCCTGCCAGGAGAGGGACAAAACCAAGGCGGACCTGGAACTGGCTGATCGCCGCAACCTACAGCTGGTCAGAGAGGTGGATGATCGGCATGCGACCATGGAGTCTCTCAATGAGTCTAAAATCAAGTACGACTGCTCTCCTCTAGTCCATATAGAATCATATCTGATAAAGAGACATGCAAGGGCTCTACAGTTTTGTTTTATTTTTATGCAGGGGTCTGGAGCAGGACTTCCGGGATAAACTTACAGCTCTGAGGAGTGAATCTGAGTATGAAAGCGAGGTTCTTCTAGAGCAGGTAGAGAATGAGCGGGAGAGACTCCGGGAGGAGCTAGACTTGCTTCAGGCTCAGGACGTTAGCCTTCAGGAGGACATTTGCACTGCTGCTAAGGTAACCACTGATGTCACTATTATTATTATTGTTGTTGTTATTATAAGTAGCGGTATTCTGTTAGGTTGTTGCATTTAAAATGCATTTAAAACTATTGTTTTTATTCAGCAAGGATGCGTTCAATTGATCAAAAGTGACAGTAAAATGTTTAAACTGTTATAACAAATTTTTTTTTTTAATCAGTTTTTTTAACCTTCTATTCATCAAAGAATCCTAAAAATATATATATCACTGTTTCTACAAAAATAGCAATAAATCAGCATATTAGAATGATTTCTGAAGGATCTGAGTAATTATGAGTAAAAAATTATGCTGAAAATTCAGCTTTGCCATCATGGGAATAAATTACATTAAAAATACATTAACATAGAAAACCATTAATTTACGGTAGTAAACTTTTGAACGGTAGTGTATAACTTTATAAACGAATCATTCTGACTATGATGAAATCTGAGTGTCTGCTTTAATAGCTGTTTGTAATTTTTCTTGTTTGGCTGCAATAAAAAATGGCCTACGGTTTTATTAATGAACCGTTTCTCCATGGAAGAATTGTTTATTCCTATTATTATTATTATTATAATTAATAATATAAATGATTAATAATAATAATAATAATTAGTAAATAATAATAAATCATTATTTTTTTAACATTGTTGAATTAATTTTATTAAATGGCAGGTGCCAGCATTTTTTAAAGCAATACACCATTCAAGGTCATGCTTTACTCTGATTTTATTATGGTTAAGGGGGTTTGTAGGTACTCCCATACCTGTGGTAAACTCACTGTAAAGTAAAAAATAAGGCAATGTTGCTGCAATAAAAATCAATATTTATTTGATTTAAAAAAAAAACTAATTTATGCTTTAACTTTTCATTGATTCTGTTTTGTAATCCTATTATAGTCTTTTTTCATAAAGATGAAACATACAAATAAAAAATGTGCAGGAACAAAGAGTCTTATTCACCAAGATACACATCGGACAATTTTGTATTTTGCCATTGAATATTCAAGTTGGGGAATTTTATTTAAATAAACCATATCATTATTCATATAATTTATAAATCGCATTACAATTCCCTTACCATGCCTCCTTTAATTCCCTTAATGATTCTGTTCTTGGCTACAGAACACGACTCAACGGAGAGGTGATCTGTCATGGTTAGAGGTGTATGTTTCTTTGAGCATGTCAGTGCGGTGTCAGGTTAAATAACTCTAGCTCTGTGTTACAGGAGAACAGTCGTTTGGAGGAGGAGGTCTGCCTTCTGAAGGAGAAGCTGTCTGAAGCGGAGAGCACCATCTCCAAACTACAGAAGGATCTAGAGCATCTGCTGCAGGACAGGGTGAGACGACTATATGCTGAAGATCATGAGTTTCATTCTTTAAGAACAATAATGATAATTGATCTATGCTTGTTTTATTGAACAGTACGGTGGCCTTGATCCAAATGGCACAGGACTGCTGAATCAAGAGGAGCACTTCTCTGAGATCTTTAAGGAGTACGAGCAGCAATGCCGGGTATGAGCTTTCCTGTGTGTGTTTATAGCGTGTTGGTGGATATTTTGTCTAGAGTGAATGGTGAGGTCAGCCTTGTCATTGTGCATTGTATTTAAGTGTCCTTTCTTGGTTATTATGCCAGCTCTCCTATAATCCATGGTGCTTTAAATGACGCCTTTAATTGTGAGTGGTCCGCTGTTACTTTTTGCTCGTGTGACATTTTGCTCTTTTGTAAGTAATCACCTAGGAACCATTCAAAAAAACTTAGCAAGTGTATACTAATGCACAAAAATTACTCTGAACAGCTTAGCAACAAGGTAGAGACTTTGCCCATGAGGCTTCTTACTTAAGGCAAGACACTTTTTTCTGCACTGTTTAATTTTGAGATTTTGGGCTATTTGGCTTTTCATGTCATTTTTTTAGACTAGTGCAAAGAAAACATCCAAAATACACTTTCAAGTGTTTATTATATTGCACTTTATGTATTTTTACCGCTAGATTAGAGTACAATGCATTTCTTTAAGGACCATTTTCTGAAAATATTTTTTTTCTCATGCATTGAGACAGAAATGTCCTCTTTGGTATACTGAACTTTAGTTTTATTTCTATTTATTTTTTGAAGGTTTTTTACTGAGGGGTTTGTTCATTTATCATTTGCTTGATTTTATACATATACAACATTTTATTCCCAAAAACATGGTGAAAATGTTTTTTTTTCTGGCTGTTGATGGTATTATTTATTTATTTATGGAGCGACAAAAAGAGATATCCAAAATCCCTTATAAAAACCTTTGACTAATGTCAACAAAATGAAACAAGAATTTTGAACCTGTCCAATGTTTTTAACATCTCTGTTATGAAAACTATACTATAATAGGATTACAAAACCGAAACGAGGGAACGTTGCTATTTAAAGTATGCATTTGTTTTTTTGCCATCTTTTTAACAACCTTTTATCAAGTTAATTTTAATATGTAAATTGTTTTGTTTTTAATAACTGTAAGTAAGCCATTTGTAAATTTTGCAGTTTCATTTGGTGATGCTTTCAAAGAAAAACACGTTTCACTTCTGCTTTACATATTTTTGGGAGATTTGTTTCAGAAAATGCAGAAAAAAAAGTTTTACTTGTGCAAATGACTCTGTGTCTCCGCCCTACTAAATACAGGAGTTGCAAGACAGGAATGACGAGTTGTGCTCAGAGCTGGAGTTGTTGAAGTCTCAGGGCTCAGGAAGGAGAGCCAGACGATCCAGGGGCAGCCTGTCGGATCATGACTGGTCAAGCCGAAGAGCATTAACCACTGAATCAGATTCTGGTGAACAAACATCTAGATCTCGCACATCTTTCATGCTATCGAGCTTAACCTCTGTAGTAAACATCTAAACCCATCTGTTTTGTTCTACAGATGATCCTGAAATGAAGAAAGGTACATCTCCTCAGGTCAGAAAAACTCTCCAAGTCACTGACAAGAATGGTGAGGAATTATAAAAACAAAGTTATCCTTTCTCAATGAAATATCCATACGCATGGGTCATGGCTTGATTTGGTGTGTCTCTTCAGCCCTGGGTTCCTTGGAGAGCTTGGCTCCCTCTGTGAGCATTGAGACAGAACTGGCCATGGAGCAGATGAAAGAGAGATACGAGCAAGAGGTTCAGGACTTGAAGATCCAATTGGAGACTAAGGTACAGGCAAAGCATGGAAATATTAAATGGGTTACCCAAAGTACCCTTTGCAAATTAGAGTAGATTCAAACAGCCAGAGCTGAAGGGGAAAAAGCTTGGATATGCAAATGCTTCTAAACCAAAGATGGACAAAAATGTACTAGGACACTGACAGTTAACATACTGTAGAGAAAGTGATTTATAGTGTTCATTTTGTGTCCACAGGTGAATTTCTACGAGCGCAGTATGGAGCTGATGCGGCAGAATATGGAGGTTGAAAGGAAGGACATCTCACAGGGCTTTAAGATGGAGATCAGTGAGTTGGAGGACCTGAAGGCTCAGGCGGAGGAGCGAGCAGAGCAAACGCGTCAGGCTGTTGAAAAGCTGGAAGCAGAGCTGAGGGGTAAGACTGCAGGAGGAGTTTGGGGTCAAGAGCAAGAACGAAGAATTCAACGGGAACAGGCAGAACTGGAGCAGAACTACGCTCGTGAGATCAGTAACATCGTGATGCGCCTCACCTCAGAGAAAGATCAGCTAGAGGCAGAACTCAAGCTCAAGATGGACCAGGAGGTGCTGCTTGTTAGGTAAGTGTAACTCAGATGGTCTGGTAAAGGATTAGGTGCTGCTTATATATTGTAGACATTAGAAGTATATATTAGAAAAAGGACAGAGCTAGAAGATTAATTTCTTGACGCTCTTTAAGACTCTTTAATGATGGAATTCAGAAACCAGGGTATTATTTTGTATGTTTTTTGCCCCCCTCCCAAAAAATAATACATTAAATTAAACTTTTTTTTTCGTGCAAATATAAAATGTTGCCTATTTTAAGACCATACGTTTTTTTTGTGTTGTGACCATTATTTATTTGATTTACAACAGCTCATAAAAATATATCAATCGTCCGACAGCATCCGTTTTCATTTCTATAATGCAAAAATATCTTTCTTATTACTGTTGTGAAGAAAATATATTTTGATTGTAAAGATGTTCATAAATTTATAGATAATGTTGTATTAATGATTATCACAAAAAATGATTGTTATACATTTTTAGTGAAATGTTAAAAATAATGGTTTACATTAGGAATTTAATGAGATTCACCATTGAAAATAATGGGAATTTAAAAGTAAAATTAAAATGAAAAAAAATTTGCCTAACTAAAAAATTGGTAATACTTTACAGTAAGTCTCATTTGTTAACACCCACTTACAATTTATTGTGTGCATTTTCAATAAGACGTAATATATGTGCTTCATATAGACCTTCAATCAAGAATTACATCTTGAATTGTTTTACTGTATGTTCAACCTTTTTTTTTTTAAGTAGGGAAAAAGTAGTATTTATTTTTTCTCCCTTGGTATCCATGACATTGCAATAAATCTAGACATAGACGAATTGGCATGTTGCTGTGTCCCAGGGAGAAGGCAGAGCAGCAGTTATTGCACATGAAGGCACAACACAGCGAGGCTCAGCATAGCCTGCTCCATCAGCTGCACCTCGAGCGCAGCCGTCTAGAGGAGCAGTCTGAGCTGCATCGCAGAGAAGAACAGGAGGCGCGCAGGGAGCGTCTCCTCAGCACCGAGCGCTGGAGTGAAGAGCAAGCTCAGATCTGCAGCAGGGTGGCACAGGAAAGAAAGAAACTGGAGGAGGAACACCAGGAAGAAATCAAGAATCTAGGAGAACACATCCACTTCATGGAAGCTCAGGTAGAACTCGCATCCAGGGCTGAGGAGGAGTTGCTCATATTACAAAGACAGCTAGAAGATAAGCTGGAAGAGATGTGTGTTCAGCTTGAAGACAACACGGTTTCCATGAAAGCTCAAGATGCCCTTGTCCAGCGTTTGACCTCAGAACTTCATGCCAAAGAGAAGGAAACCGAAATTAGAAATGAGAAGGAACAAAAGCTTTGCAATAAGCTGTCTCAGCTAGAGCAAAAGCTTAAAGCTGAGCGAGAAAAGAAGCAAGAACTTCTGAAGCAAAAGGAGCAAATACAGAAAGAAATGGACAGAAGTACTCAAGATCTAAAGGAGGAATTAGCAAAAGAAAAAGAGAAGAAACAGGAGCTTCTTGACAAAATTCCTGAGTTGACAGAAGAGCTAGAGAACTGGAGGACCAAATCTGAGACCTGGCAGAAGGAGATCGAAATAATGCAGGGAAGCAGTAGTCATCTATCTACTGCATTTGGTGAACAGCAAATGCAGTTGAGAGAACAAGGGAAAGAACTTGAGGATCTTCAAGAAAACTTGGCCAAAACGCACAAGGCATTGAAAACCAGAGATGATGATCTTACAAGACAGGCTTCTGAGTTAAATGCTGTGGAGATGGAGCGGGATCGACTCATAGAGGAGCTCAAGGGTCAGTGTGAGGTTCTCAAACAGCTACAAACACAGGTTAATAGTCTCTCTGAAGAGTGGGATCAAATGCACACAACGGAGCAAACCCTTAAAGGCTTTCTTCTTGTGGAGCAGGGTAAGGTTGAACAGCTCCAAGCCCGTCTGAACTTGGAGCAAGAAGAAACGAGGCATCTTGAACAAGAGAACTCAAGCTACCGGCAACTTGCAGACCAGCTTTCTTCTCAGATTGTTGAAATGGAGACCGAATCTACCAAACTTAAAGAGAACAGAGATCATTTTGCACTGGAACTGCAAAGCAAAGACAACCAAATGCTGGAACTCAACCGCCAGCTTGAAGCCAAAGCCGAAGAGATGGATTTGCTCTGGAACGAGGTTCAGCTGAAGATGAATCTGTTTAAAAACGTCACTAATTTCTCTGGTCAGGTTCAACTTTTGACCAACCAATTGGAGGACAAAAAGCGAGAGCTGTGCGCTCTGAGAGAGGAGGCCGACAATACCACCAACCAACTACAACAATCTCTGATGGACTCCCAAGCAGAGCTTCTGCAAATGGAGGAGGCCTTTGAAATCGAGAAGTGCCAAATGAAAGAACAGCTTCTGGAGATGGAGGGACTTGTCATGGCCTTAGAACTGGAGATGGACTCCAATCCCCACAGGTTTGTGGTTCTCCAGCTAGTAGATGACCGTCGAAACAGAACCAAAAGATTAACAATCGCTGCATTGATCCAATCGTCGATTCTCCCGTACGGATGCCAAGAATTGACCGCTCACTACTTTTGTGTCTGTCCAAGAATGCTTGACTGAATGTTTCACAGAATGAGATCTCATTAACCGTAGATATGCGCTTTGATTTTTCAGACCTCATTCTGCATCTGACTAACTGAATGATGTGTCACTGACATGCATGAAAACTCACTATTAATAAATGACTATGTATTCTGATTGAAAATGTGTTCTTGCATCCTATTAATTGTATTAATATTACATTTGTGTTTGTTGCCCTAAACTCATGCTGCTTTTTTTTTTTTAAATGTTGAAAATCTTGCGATGAAAACTCCTGAAATTATATTGTTTTCAGTACTGAGCTTCCTAAAAGTGCAGAGGCTGGTAAGAGTGTAATGGAGAGCTGATCTCTATATTTTGGTGTCCAATTGTAGGGCTCAACTTGATGAGGTCACGTCTGAAAACAGTGCACTGAAAGACAGGCTTGCTGTCTTACAGCTGGATGTCAAGTCGCTGGAGGAGGAGGTCAACAAAAAGAGGTAAAGAAATCGTCTTCTTTAACTTGTCAATTATCTAAACTTAATTTTAGCATTTTATTTAATAAAAACAAATTTCACTTCACAATTTTCTTTAAGGAGGAAACTTGAAGAGATGGACAGAGAATATATGAAAAATCGAGAAGACGAGGAGAGGCTACGAAAAGAGGCAAGATTGGCATCAATGAAGTTCTTGGAAAAATATTGATAGCATGGAGGAGGGTAGCATGGATATTATTGTTGTTTATTACTGTTTTATGGAATATTGCAGTATTTATGATAAATGATTTATCAGTGCACTTTTTTTTTTTTATTCATGTGCCCTCATGATCTTTAATCAAAATAACTTCCCCCTCCTCTTGCACTGACATCTCTTTTATGTTTATTGGCACGAGGGCGGGACAACCTGTCACTCACATGACATCACAGCAATAGCAAACCACAACCATCCAATCAGTTCCCAAGGGACAAAATCAAGTTTTGTCGCCCTACTTTTTTTTCCCCCCCTTTTTTTTTTTTGTCTGTTTCACTCGGATATACATCACAATAGAGAAGTAAAGGCTATCGCGACTTCCATTTAATGCTGACTTTAAATTAAAAATGAAACTCGGCTTTGCTATCTTTGTGGGGACTCTTAATAGGCGTAATGGTTTTTATACTGTACAAACTGTATATTCTACCCCCTTACATTAACCCTACCCCCCCTATACCTACCCATCACACAAAATGTTCTGCATTTTTGTTTAAAAAAACTATCATATATTTTTCTCTTTTGTTAAATATGCTGTTTCACTCATAAATGTCACATTATGAATACTGAATGATTGCACAACATTATAGTTCCTGCTCCTAACAATTGTTTTCCTTCTCCAACATAGAATTCCAAATGTCGAGAAGAGGTGCTCGATCTCAGTGCGAGAAACCTTCAGCTTAGCAGTGAGAACGCTGAACTGAGTTCCCGGCTGTGTACTGATCAGAGAGCAGTGCAGACGCTGACTGACAGGCTAGCACAGGTGTGCCAGGAGAACGATGGGACAGCTGCGTCCTACAGACAGCTGCAGGAAACCCTACAGCAGCAGGAGAGCGACAAACTAAAGCTTCAGGAACAGTGGCAGAAAGACAAGGAGCTTCTAGAGAGGGAGCTTAAAACTGCCAAGGAGATGGTACGATTTAGTTTTTTAGAAGATATATTAAAGTTGGCAGGAATCACTGAAAGTTTGAAACTCCTCTTATTTTTCAGCTCCAGCATTTGACTGTGGTTGAGTCTGCATTGACTAGTCAGACTCTGAAAAACCAAGCACTAGAGCAAGACAAGGACCATTTGTTGAAGGAAACAGCAGGCCGAGACCAGAAGGTGAGATGCTGATGCTTTTTCTTCAAGCACTTTTCTGATACTGGACATGCTAAAGCTTGCTTTGTGTTTGTTGCAGCTGGAAAAGCTTCAGGAATCGCTTCGTAACTCAGAAACCCAGATAGAGCAGCTCAACTCCCAGATCCTAATTCTGTGGCAAGAAAAGGATGTTCACATCCAGGAGGCAGCCACACATCAAAAGATGCTGCAGCAGTGTCAGGACAAGGTGAACAATGATCTTTATACTTGTTTGGGTTAATTCAGTAATAATAAAATGAATAACTGCTAAATATTGTTGTGTAACACAAGGTCCAGGAGCTTGAGAACAGCATACATCAGCTGCATAAAGAGAAGGAGCATTTACATCAGACCCACAGGATTCAGGAGGAGACTGCAGTCAGTGTTCTGCAGAAGGAGTGCAAGAGCTTGCGAGTACAGAACGAGGACCTTCTTAACAAAGTTAGTCAGGAAGACTAAGTGGATTTTTCTCAATTTGCAATTATCTGTGTCCAAATTTGACTCCCTATTTATTTTATAATGCACTATTTGGAATGCATATGCATGACACTTTTAACCAAGGTATACACGAACCCATGACCTTGGTGTTGCTGGCACCATTCTCTACTGTTTGCACGGCATAGCAGGAATGTTCTGGATTCACAATTGTGAATTCCATATATTGCACACTTTTAAACCCACAATACATTCTTTTTGCTGTGTACAACCAATGTATGCTTGTCGTTGCTAATATAGGCCATTATTCAATGCAGAGGGGATCACCAAACTCACCAAAAAAAAAAAAAAAAATTGGAGCTTCTATTCCTGCAGTCTTTTTGTCTTTACTGAAATATTGTGGAGAAACAAGTTGTGGAGATTCACCTGCGGGCGCCTCCATCCAGCCGTTCAGCGTACATAGGTTGTACACCCGTTAATACAGTGCATTGTGGGATTGAATGAGTGAGCTCGATAATGTCCACAATGGTTTCGGACAACACTACAAATGGCTGTCCCCTCAAATAGTGCCCATCAGTGCCCTTTAAGGGTATAGGCCAGGGGGTGATTTCAGACACAGCCTATGTCTCGGAAGCGAAATCTCATAGCCATTTGTCTTCCCCTGAGCACAGAAACGCTGGACAGCTGGTATAGGATTTAAATTATGCTCATGGTTTAACGTTTTGTACAAATATGTTCAACATGGAGGAAGCAGCCATTATTCCAGTCTTCATTTTCACATGATCCTTCAGAAATCATTCTGATTAGCTGGAATATTTTTTTTTTTTAGCTGGCTCAGCTGCAGACTCAGGAGCTGGAACTTCAGAGACTGACACATCAGTGCCTCACTTTGAGAAACCAACAAGCAGAGCTAGAGACTGCTAAACATGAGGCAAATGAACAGGTTTGGAGATCATTGTCTACCTTCTCACTGATTAAGACTTCCTTATGAATGTTTTTGGTCTCACTTTTGTGTGTTTGATACTGTGGTTTAGGCACTAAGGGCAGAGAGCGCTCTGTCGCTGGTCCAGGCTCAGCATGTACGTGTGGTACAGGAACTAAGGGAACAGGTGGGGTCTGGCACCCGGGAGCACTTGGCTCATCTACAAACTCAACTGGCCGAGCAGCAGCACAGGACGCAGGATTTAGAGGGTCTGCTTCGCTCTCAGGCCAAGCAAGCCGGCATTCAGATGGGCCTTCAGCAGGTACAGCTACACTTTCAAATTCTTGATGGGTGAACATGTCAATTTTCCTAAGCCAGACATCACTTTTGGCCACAACTGTATTTATCATTGAATCGTTTACGTTTTTTCAACCTTCACCTCATATTCCAAGTCATTTTATTTACAAACTATTAAATCAAACAACAGGAGCAATACGAGAAATTGATGGTGAGTATGCAGGAGCGTATGGATGAAGTTGAAGCCAAGCTGAAAAACACCCGTGTGATGCTGCAGGAGAAAGTCAACCAGCTAAAAGAACAGGTAACCAGAAACAAGTGGCTTTAAAGTTCCCCAATTATGCTTTTTCAGATGTTACCTTTTCAGATATTACCTAAAGTGATTGTAAAAGGTCTGCAAAGTTTCAAAGAGCACTATAAATGGAGATATTTGTATCCCGAAAGAACAAACCGATTCTGAGTTACCTAAAACGAGTCGTCAGTAATTCCAGTCTTACTTCCTGCATAACCCTACGTATAGGTTTGTAACAAATTTGCCTAATGCCAGCCTATGGTCTTCATTGGCTGTCCACAAACGTCTACTTTGACCCTCAAACACTGTAGTTGTAGCTGAGGCCTGACAGAGTTTGGTTTGTGTTGTTTACATGTAAATCCATTTTAAATGAACTTTTCAAAGGGCTCGAAATGCAGTAAAACCGACGCCATGTTACTTTTCATATCACGGTGTAGCAAGTTCTGAGGAAGCCTCTGGAGCTGAAATTCAGATATCAGAGCAGAGTTGGCTCTCTAAAATGAGGGGTTTAGAGGGACTGAATCTCTTTGAACAAACAGTTTTTAGACTCTTTGAGAAATTAGGTGATGTGCAATGTATATTATGAATAGCATAATAGGGGCACTTTAAAACCATGTTACTGAATACTGCATAATACTTACTACTTTTCTGTAGTTTTTAGGATGTGAAATATTATCTGGAATTATGCAACAAGTAGTAATTTCACATGATAACCCCATATACTGCATGTTGTTTATAAATAAAGATGTGAATAAATTCTAAAAATGCATATAAAAGTCGGATATTTTATCCGATAAGAAGCCAGCGTGTAAATTACGATGGAAACACATTTACCGAATAAATCCCTCGATTCGCAACAAAAAGCTCAAGTGACTTTTCATCAACAGTGGATGTGATTGGATAATTAGACTAACCAGCGGACCAATCGCATCGCACAGCAGATCAATGTTGGTTTGATCATTCTGAAATGCCTGAGCCAAAGTCTGCCATCAAAATGATTTGGTTTAATTCCCTCCAAGAAGCGTCTCACATGATCACGTTCCCAAACACCAGCATCTGAGCGCAAGATATCATGACAGTGTTTATTGCGTTTCGTCTGCTTGCACTGAGACGCATGTCATTTATGATGGAGGTAAAAAGAGCCACATTTTCTTTCCCGATTGCAGCAACTTCCATTTTTATTAGATGTTTTGTGACAATTTCCCAAGAAGTGATGAATTTGTTCTTTTGAACACATGGAATGGAAACGGTGCTTTTATTCGAAAAAATGTATGCAATATTGCAATTTTGCACTTGTAAAATTGGCAACTTAGATGGAAACATAGCTGTGATAGTGTCTTTTGTGCACATTTTGGCAAATGTAGGTCAACTGGGCATTTCATCCATTCATAAGAATGTAGTATACATACTACAAACAGAAATAGTTTATTAGTATGCTTGATATTTTGTATAGTGACAATCCTCTCTCTAACTTCCCCTCCTATAGCTGGCCAAAAATGCCAAGTCAGATCTGCTGCTGAAGGACCTGTATGTGGAAAACTCTCAGCTCATGAAGGCTCTTCAGGTGACCGAGCAGAGGCAGAAGAGTGCAGAGAAGAAGTCTTTCCTGCTGGAGGAGAAAGTGATCGCCCTTAATAAACTACTACGTAAAATCGCCCCAGCATCGTTCACGGCTTAGACTTGTTTCACTCCATTACGAGCCTTTACCCGTTGTACTGGACTGTGAAGTCCCACCCGCTAGTGCACTTTTGTATTTTGGTGCGAATTGTTTTTGTAAAAGCAGTAAACAATCCTAGTGTTAAAGTGAAAGCACAAATAATGCAAAGTCTTACAATTACTCTAACAGCATTTTGTATTTAAATCATGCTGTTTTCAACAATATAAAGAGGACGAAGCGTAAAGTTAATTTAAGATCATATTTTAGTCTCTTCAGAGGCAAGCGAATTGATCATTTGTCAAGGACAAAGCTTTACACATTCCTTTATTTGTTCACTGTGATGTAGGGTACAAACCGCAAGCGTTCTTGCCAATCTGTTGGCTTTAAGTATTTGAATATGACGTATTCTTTTTACTGCAGTTTTAATGCCCATTTTATAACCAAAAGCACAGTATTCACTCAATGTACAGTTTTGATACAAATACTATATTGTAATTGCACAATTTTCAATCATGATGCACTAATGTCCACTTGGATATAAATTATTCTAAGTGTTACAATTGATGTACACCTCGTTTAAAAGAGCTGGCTGACTTTTGGGAGATAATTGTGACACCATTGTGTTGTAAATGCATCATGTACTATTTCCCACTGTAAGGAATGTGAGCAAGTAAAGTTTTACCTGTGTATATGTGTTGCTGTCTGATTAGATCAATCAAATGTAATTTTATAACATTTCAATTGTTAAAGTTAAGATGTGAGTATCCACTGCTTATTCTTAGGAGATGACATGCTCTAATACACCCTGCCGAATAAGCTGCTCACATTTCCATCTGGGTAAGAAGTGCTGTGAAGAGAGAAAGGGTGAAACACATTAAGCAATATAAACAAACAAGCAGTCCTTCTAGTGTGATTTAAACATGCTCTTAAGAATAGTTACCTGGCTATTTTTCTTCAACAGAATCACAGTGCCATCATCTATTTCAAACTCGCCATGGTCTTTAAGACACCGCACCTGAATATGAAGGAAAAGATACATCAGTGCTAATAAAGTTCCTGTGCGTTATTTCACACACACAAAAACCTTTCGGTTACTTTATTACATTAATTATTTTTCATAAAAGAAATAAAGCTTATGTTAGAATAAATCTATTTTAACATTTTAATGTATGAATACTTCAGAACTTATATAAAAAAATAGATCAATGAATTATTATTGTAACGAGGAAAAAAACAAATATATACACTATATGTTTTTTACCCATTACATTAATGAAAATTAAGCTGTAGATTTTTTTTTTTTTTTTTTTGAGAAAGAAACATTCACCCACACAGTGCCAAAGCACAACCAAAACAATGTTCTTCCTGAAAATGCATGCAATTTTGTTTAACCGCTAGAAGGCCAAAAGTTACAAAGTGTACTTTTAATTTAGTTTAACTTGATTGTACTAAAATAACTCAAACAAAAGAAATAATATCTTGAATACATAAAAATATCTTGAAATAAAATAAAAGCTATACATAATTAATATGAAAAAAATATTATAAACTATTGAAAATTACAAATACTCATTTACTAAAACTTTGAAATGTAAAAATATATTAATATAACATTATCCCTCAAGTTTCACATTACAGGCTTAAGCCTAGTCCTAGACAAAAATGCATGTTTGAGCTGTTTTAAATGAAAGTAACTTGGACTGACATATCTTAAAATATATCAGTGCCATTGTTTTGTCTCAAGGTGCACAACAGTAATGTTTTCTTCCAAGGCATGATTATAAAAGCTACTTAAATGTCCTAATTGAATTAAGGCCTAATCCTGGCTTAATTTAAGACTTGTCTGTGAAACCAGGCCTATGTAAGTGATACTAAAATAACACTGCACTCACCTCAATGTATAAACTCTTAGGGGGCTTCATATCCTGTGTTATGTCCAAACCTTCCTCTCCCCCAATTGATCTCATATAGGTCGCCAAGGATTTTTTATACTGATTGAACCACTCCATCTGATTTAGAAGCATTTGAATTAACATGTCAGTCACCAAGAAGAAACAGGTGGCATTTAATATGTTACACAGAAGAAATTCAGGCCCACCTCTTCAGCACACATATGAAACCTAATGGCTGTGGGCAGTACACTGCCGTACTCCCATCTGAGAGCACGGATTCGCAGGAGGCGATCATAACTGTGGGAAGAAAGAGAGAAATGTTTGATCACAGGCAGGCAAGGTCTGAAGAGTGAACCAGACAATGGATAACAGGAAAACAGTGAATCACTCACAGGTATGCGGAGATACAGCGCTGGTTCCTCAGTAGACAGCAGTGGCGGAACTTGATGCTTGGTATCAGCTCACTCTTGCCCTCTGTCTTTGCCTCATTCCTATAAAAAAGCAGGTTTATATGGAGTATATTGACTTTGTAGACTAAATCATACAGTATTTGTTTTAAATTGTAGTAATTTGATGTACTTTTTCATTTTTATTATTTACTATATATTTTTATTTCAGTATTAGTAAAAGCATTTTGTTTTGCCAAGGCAACCTTTATCATTTTCTAAAGGTTTCAGTTTTACTTATTTACATATAAGAAAATGAATTTTAATGGCTTTGACAGTCGTCGATATGAGAGTCAACATTATGACATACTAACTTACGAAGTTATCTTGAGAAAAGTCTTGACAAAAAATGTAATGACTGAGTATACTTGAGAAATACTTGAGTAATAAAGTCATAATTATCTGATAAAAATATGAAATTATGACATGTCAATTATGAGAGAAAAGTTGAACATTTTGATATTTCATGTCATTACTTTTTATGTCAATATGACATACCGTTTATGTCTAACAGCCGTTTATGTTAAAACATATTTGGCTGAATGTCACAAAAAACGGTTTTTAATGGTTTTAGTTTACAAAAAAACACATTACAGTCCCTGCCGTTTGCTAACTAATCAAACACAGACAGCATTAGTGTCGATGGTGAGAGCTGAGACTTACACATCACTCTGATTCTGTTCATACAGAGCCTTCATTTCTTCCAGGACTTGCCGAATACTGTCTTCCTGAGGAAAATCAAGGACAAATCGGTATGACTTCACTTTGACATGTTAATGACATCCGACTGTTACTAACTTAACTGTAACGTTACCTGCTATAACTATGGCAGCTAACGTTAAGTTACTGTGTTCTATTATAAAACTGTACGAAGCGCTTTAAGTTACTTACATTAAACGCGGGCAGCTGGCCATCTCCCATCCGATGTAGTTCTCTTATAAGTTCGACAGCTTTTTCGCAGAACATTATAAATGTGTTTGTAACAAAAAGAGGCCGATATTTCTGGAATAAAGCCTTAGCTACTAAATTTCCAATCTAGGCAAAGACAGTTTTCGCGGTAATTTTTGTTGTTATGATCACGTGAGCCTTAAAGTTACTACGGCGAGTCAAAAAGGACATTTTCAGATATGCGTAGTGGTAGTGACGGGACTCATGTCCAAGAATCGGTTCTTTCGAACAGTTCGTTTCAAAGAACCGGTTTAGTTATTATTTTCAAGAAGAGCATGACATGCGTCGTTGTGTGCATGAAGATACAACACAAGTATGAATGTTTTAAGGAACCTAAAAGCAAAAAAAACTGTTCAATGCCTAGGCCACTCTCTGATAACTAAAACTTTGTTACCTTATACCAGACAACATCATATTATTATATATGCTTACAAAGACATTGATTTAAAGAAACTTAGTGGCGTAGCACATTGTATTTTTTAGGGTTATTTTTTTAAAGCATTTGATTATTACAGATTCTTGTATTATTACTTCATATAACATGACTAAGTATAAGTACCGGTAACCAAGTACATGCTGCCATCTAGAGGTGAAAAGGTCACATACATACAAACAAACAGTTCACAGGTCATCCCTCTGAACACCTTAGGTTTGGTGACACCAATCTTTAGCAGTAGAAGGTTAATCACATCTTAGGTCTTATCATTTTTAGGGAGAACCATAATATTTTCTCTAAATATAATTCTGTACATGATGAACAAATAAAAAGCAGTAGATATTGTGGCGTTGTGCAATTTCCCAAAAGAAATAGACAGGAGATGAAGGTCCAGTTCACAAACACCCAAAGGGCTTCCATCTCCTTTTTCATAATTGTGACTTTTTTCTCATAATTATGACTTAGTATGACATAAATTTGACTGTTTGTGCCATAATTTAGGCAATTTTTGTCATAATTAGGACTTTTCATGTCATTTTGAATTTTTATGTCATGATTATGATTTACCTAGTATGTTATTATTATGATTTACCAAAGTATGATTTTATATGGCAGAAATGGGCTTCACTCATGTGCCTATATTGGCACTGTCTGTTCAAAGTGGAAGTGGTTATTTACCATGCTTTACAGTGTCAAAGGCCCTTATATGGCAAGTCATGTCATTCTGTGGCTATTTCAGTACAGATCATATCTCTATTCTAAAGGTGACATATTATGCCCATTTTCACAGGATGTAGCCTAATATAAATCAATGGTGTCCCCAGAATGTGTCTGTGAAATTTCAGCTCAAAATACCCCCCAGATCAGTGTAGCTTGTCAAATTTGCCGCTTTTTGGGAGTGAACAAAAACGCGCCGTTTTTGAGTGTGTTTCTTTAAATGCAAATGAGCTGCTGCTTCCCGCCTCCGTTCAGAAGACGTCCGGTCTGATCCTTTACACGAGCTTCAGATAACGTTACTCCAGCAATAACAAAACAGGTGAATAATCTCACTCATCCAGTGCAGCTTTACGGAGAGACTCAGGAAGAGGTTACAACTTTTAGACGCACCTGAATGTTTCTGAATGGTTAGTGGATACATACATGTAGTTGTTGTGGAGTTACATTGATTCATCTAATCGACTGCAACGACTTGCATGCACCGTCATCATGTTTAACTTTTACACAAGTTGACACAGTTCCCTACGGAGCCCCTAAACCTAAAGGGACGTGGGGGTGGGAAAAATTTAAGATGGGAGAATTTTTTTTTCTTCAAATCTTTTGCGTTCCCCCGATAAACTTTGCGTTCCCTCGCAAAGATATTTGCGTTCCCCTGACGTGAGCTGAGCTCGGACAGACACTTCCGGTTTAATGTCCAGTTGGCAGTGGTTCAGACAGCTCCGTACGCTCACATCCCAGATTTCAGACCAACACTGAATCAATGTTAATGAATTAACCAAAAGATCATTGAATCAATGTTGAAATTTTACATTGACTTTTCTTCAGGTTTGCACCCTGAAATAATGTTATTTCAACGATGAAAAATCAATCAAGATGGACATAAAATCTATATTTTTTCAACCTTAAATCACTTATTTAACATTGAATCAACATAGAAACAATATCAAATCAATCTTGCTTTATGTACAGCAGGATTCTATGCCAGTTAATTATCTGTTTTTACTCATTTCAATCAAAAACAATGTAGGGATGTAATTCATATGGTTTTGAATCAAAAAGTCTCTCAATGTAAACAAATTTAAACCTTCAGTTTACATGCAAATGTTTTTATTTATGACCTCACACTGTTTGAACGGGAATTAAAATCACATTCAGGAAAAACAAGTGGCTCTAAAAATGTGATTAATGGTGATTAATACAAATAAAATATTATGGCCTGGTTTCACAGACAGGACTTAGATTAAGCCAGGATTAGGCAATTAGGACATTTAGCTTTTATAAACGTGCCTTAGTAAAAAAAACATTACTGTTGTGCATCTTGAGACAAGACAATGGGACTGACATTTTAAGATATATCAGTGCAAGTTGCTTTCAGTTAAAACAGCGCAATCATGCATTTTAGTCTGGGATTTAGCTTAAGCCTTGGCTGTGAAACTGGGGGGAAAGAACTTAAAATACAACTTAAGTACAGAATATATCAAATGGATGACAAAGTGACTTAAAACAATAACATGGAATTGTTGATTCTGAATTCATAAAGTAAATACCAGGAGAAGAGCCTGGAAAACCATGACAACATAAATGCAACGTGCGTTTGTAAAATTTAAGTAAATCCTAATTGAAACTCACCAACAAAGACAGAAACAGTGCTACAGACTGAAACACTACCACAGTTCACTGTTTAGGGCTTGAAGCTTTTCAATGATTGAAGCTACTCTTCTGATGCAAAAAGGATGTCCTTATTAAATTGATACTCTGATGAACTCAGGGGTTTCCACCACGAGCAATGTCCCCAAGAAGTTCAGGGGCATTACGGAGCCATTTTTGCTGTAACAGCAAATATAAAATTTGAGGCCTCCTTTTTCTCAGCCATCACTTGTTGTTGTAAGGCATCTAATACCAACAGGAAGTTAGAACTGCACAATGTTCTAAAACCATTGATCGGTAGTAGTGTATGACTGGCAAAAGGTGGGTCATAAATATTCAGAAATGTGACTGTTGCAAATGTGCTACAAAATTAAGTGCTTGATTAATTCAATTAACTTGAAATATGAATAAACAAAATGTGTTTAAGTTAAAACACATTAAATTCAAATTTATGACTTTATTTTAACATAAACATTTTATATTAGGTCGATGATGTATATCATACACAGAAGCAGGGCACAAGCTGATGTAGCTGAAGTTGATTCAAAACTTTAACTCCCTCGATCACAAAGCCAATGTCATCAGGTGGTTCATGAAGTTCTCCCTCGCCTCCCGAATAATGAACACTGCCATGGTGAGCTGCTCAAGGTCACCCTCACAGTCATCCGTCTGGTTATCCTAAAGTAGTGTACATATAACAAACAAGTTTAATTGCCTTTTGCTATCATAACCACAAAATACACAAATTTAGACTTTTTCTGAAAAATAAATCAAAATAGAAAATGCGGACGTTCAACTCTTGGTACTTCTTGATGAGGTCTTTAGGATTTTCTCTCAGGAAAAAAATTATTAGGGCCTTCAGGACACTCTTCTCAGGTGAATGTTTCCAGTCTGTGATAAAGCAATGAATCTCAGTGAAGTTTCAGAACACAGAGCTTCTAAAGTTATCGACCAATTGGTGATTGGCTCTTTTATATAGAAGGCGGGACTTATTCCTCCATATTGCGTGTTGTACTTTCTCGCATTCATAGTAAAATGAGTGCGCTGTCTTTGTATATCTATAGTCTTTGACAGTGTGGGAACAGCAGAGTTTATAGGTGTGAGCTAGATTAAGCAATAACACCCAAAGGCGTTTATGAGGGGTGCAAAAGGGGAGATATCATTCCCTTGGGACGTGGAGTCAATGAAGTCATGCTCAGTATCTACTCCACAGTTTGATTGGGACGCCTCCCAAACCGGGGATAACAGTATAATTAACAGGGACAGCTGCAGATACGGTCCCTCTGTCAGCGGCCACAGCAGACACCGTCCACTCGGCCTGGGCCCAAATCATCTTCTAAAACCATAGAAACCGTTCACAGCCATATCAGTGTCTTGTGCTACAACAGGTGGTCCCTGAAGTTCACAATTCAACCTCCCCCCTTGTCTCAAGTTTGCTGCCTACCGCTCAACTTTAGACCCGTGGACACTCGCATTTGTCATCGAACAACTCACAAACATCCTCTGCTTGGTTTGTATTTTTCAGGCCAAGATAAAATCCCACTTACGGACCCAAACATGTCTCTGTCAGAGCAGCGGTATCACATAAAACCTTTGGGGCTTTGGAAGCTGTCGCTGTAAGTGCTTATAGGCTCTCGGATGGTTGTCTCGGGTACCTGGGAAAGATGTGGAGTGAAAATAACAGGGAGAGGGAGATAAACAGAATGAAGGGATGAATGGAAAAGAGGAAGAAGGATCAGAGAATGGGTCAGTGGGATTTGTCTTGTTTTCTCACACCATGAGTTAACCAGCATGCGTCTAAAGATCTTCAGCTATGTAGCTTTGGCTCCTTCAATCTTTCTCATCGACCGGATCAAACAGAACAGATTCAGCTGTGGCCTCCGATCCCGTCCCGCTGGAACTGCACAAATGTTGCCACTTGAGCCGCGATGTCACTAACACCCCATCCGCTAACCCCCTCCAGCTGATTTCAAAAGAAACCTGCTGTCTGTTTGAACCAGTGGTAGAGAACTCTCCTGGTATCTTGCCAAAAATGATTCAGCCAGTTGCGTGCACATATGCATGACAGTGCTTGATGGCATAGTGTAATGCATAATGTTTGGGATAGAGTACAGTAGTCTATATAAAAGTACAGGGAACTTTCCTGAAGAGCCAATAAAGCTTATGGCATTTAATAGGAGTAAAATTCCACTGTGTTGTTGAGAATTGAATGGATCTCTAATTGTTCTGTTTTATATCCCTGTATCATAAATTATAT